CAAAGGGTTAGAGTACCTGCTGATGTGTCTATATATAGAGTCAATGAAGGACTCTGGACCTAGGAAGTTCCTAGCATCAATAAAATAAGGAATAGTCCTCCCATTTTTCTAGTTCTTGTTTCATAGTTTCATTCCCCAGCAACTAGGAGCGACTCCTAAATCACTTCTGACTTCTACATGTTTCCCACCTGGGACAAAGACACGCCTTCACAGCACCATGACAACGACACCAGCAACACAAGCACTTGGGTTCCTCCAGCAAAATGAAAATCCTGAAAGGAAGCTAGGAGATAAAGGCTTACTATTCCTTATTTCCCACTGGTAGGAAGTAATTACAAAAATTACTTTAACACAAAGCTTCTGGTGAATGAATAGTTTGTAATTTGAGGGAAGAAGCCTAGGGCTTAGGGATTAAATTAAAAATATAAAAAGCTGAATGATGTCATACAAGTACCGCCACCCTCCCTTCAAAAGTAGACTGCCTAAAGTAAGCTCTTTAATGATAATAACGTAAATATTCTTAATAGGTAGTCAGGGGTATATTTTGTTTTTTATCTGAGTTTAGACAAATGAATGATTTAATAGTGGGAGTGATCCTTTAATATTTTATTAACCATGTTGTTAAAACTTCAAATATAAAATAATTTTGTCCAAACTAAACATGCCAAAAATGGATGTAACCCCTAAGCAGAAAGCAGAAAGAAGCAAATGAAACTGACTCACCATGATGAAGCAGACTAGTTTGTTAATCGTAAGCATGCCAAGTTTATGTTTGTTGTTTAATGAAAAGGATGATATTCCTCTGCCAGAAACTGGCAGTGCGATGTGTTATGAACACCTGCCAGTTCTGCACTAGAAGAGACCATTATTTATACTGCCAAATGTAAAATTGCTTTAGGTCTTATTCTTAAAAGAGTAATTCTAAAGAGAGCACCGCATCTGTGATTTTACTAGTTAGTTCAATATAGTTTTAAATAGCTCTTCATATTTTTCCACATTGCAGAAAACAATACAACTTCCCTATGAAGAGTCAAGGGAAGAGAATCTGCTATACGTGGGACTGAGTGAGAGGGTTTTGTTGTTGTTGAAATTGTACCATATGATGCATTATCTCAACAGTTTCAAAGCTGTGACTTTTATTGGAAACTCGCATATTCTTAGGGGATAGGAAATGGAGACAGATCTTTGCATTTGGTCAAGTGTCATAGCTTAGGGTTCTCAAGTGTGGGAGGGGCATAATTTTTGTTTCTGGTTTTAGTTTTATTTTTTGAGGACATAGTGTCTGCCTCACCTATAGCGAATATTTTTCATGGGCTCCCAATTCTGTGCAATGTATACCTTCTGATTCTCAGTGATACAGTTGGGAATGAGAGAGCAGAAGGCAGGGACATTCCAACCATCCACAAGCCAATACCTCCCACGTGACTCCCAAGCTGATCTCTTCATCCCTGCACCACAACATGTATATGATGAGGCCATTCATGCACTGACTCTGGGGCATGATTATGAGAATACACTATGTATTTTTCATTCACTCAGTATTCCAGTAGATTTTCTAACTCAATCTATCCAGAACTGTACTCACTTGTCATCCTTCACACCAAGCCTATTTCTGTGTCTCACTTTATATGCCTCAATTCGGGAAAGATAATTCTCTAGTCTTCTAGATTAGAATTCTGAGTCATCCTTGATCAATCTGTCTCTTTCTCTCCACCCCCAACACATACTCCATCAAAAAACACTGTCAGTTTTACTTCAATTTCTATCCAATTTAGCTCCATTTCTCCATCTCATGACTACTCACCTAGTCCAGGTCCTAATCGATTTTAATGTAGAGCACTTGACACAAACTACAGAACTCAAAACGAACGGCGATTCTGAGGACCTCAACTGCCAAAGCAAGAACTGTGCAAGCAATTACTGGGACAACTAGCAAAATACGGCAGAGTATTTACAGGGGCCGTACTGATGAAACCCTGCTGGGTCAGAAATGGTTTGCCTAGGATCAAAACACCTCCTGATGACTTGCCGTCAGAGAAATTTATGAAGACCATGGTTCTCAGACGCAGTTCTTTGTAACTAAGTACTAGCCTAGGCATTTTATTCCTCTAACTATAACTCATTAAGAAAGACCTCATATGTCCCCTAAAATAACATCTTGAAGTGATCCAGAAAAAGTACTATGTTATATGGGGCTTTAGCTTTCATTTATAAATCAATATACCTTTCTAACCCTAGAATTTATTCACTCTTACATTTTAGAATGATGAAATACATTACAAAAATATATTCTTAATTTACGCTTGGAAAGTATTTAGTCTATGAGAAAGCTTGGCTCTCAGTGCTGTGACCGAGAAGTTAAAAGGAGAATTTAAAAGCTACAGTGTGCTACTTAAAAGTTCTGAATCTAAATTACTTTTTACCCTAGGGAAGAGAGTTACACTTCTAACATACATGGTTACAATTTAAGATTCTCAAAAGGAGGTAAACTGATATCGCCCACAACTCAATTTAATCAGAACTTCATAAATAAGAAAATAAAAATCATTATGCTCACATTACGGTTCATCATGGAACATTCTAAGAGAACTGAATGGTTTTGTTTTGATTCAGGTTTTAAGGTGATTGAGAGTTAAAGGAGCTCCTTGTGCTTTGACCCATGATCACTGAAAACTTTCCCAAAATGTATTACCCTAATTCGTGGCCCAATTCTACTATAAGGCAATCTTCTATTCATGACTGAAAAACCAAATAAACACTCTTCCGTGTCTGCATTCTTCAAAGCAACTCTTATCGTAAACTGAGTGTATTAATGTTGATGCGACTGGAATTAATATTTTGAATAATTTTCTAAAATATTAACAATGTTCCAAATTTCCTTAATCCCATCCAATTCATTTAAATGTATATACCCTGACTACTAGGTTACTTTTCCTAGTCTATCATCTAAAAATACAATTGGTATTACTCATAATATTTCCGGAAAAATATAACCTTCTTCCTTTCCTATAAACATCAGCCTAATGAAAGATAGTAGGGCTAATATTTGTAGAAATAGATGGCTTCAGGGACCAAAGTGTGCTAATAGGGTAGAGCCTGATGAAACTATAGTCATGACAGATGAAGCGAATGGGAGGACAGCCACACTAGCGAACCAGGCTTCCAGCTCTCCTACACAATTCACTAACATGTGGCCTATGCTTTTCTGAAATATATTTAACCATTTCTTTGAAGGATATTAGAAACCAAGACTTACAGAAAAAGCACTATATCCTACTATCTATTCTTTGACACAACCAGTCTTCTGATTTTAGAATGACACTATTAGAACATGAAAACACAAATGAGGAATAAGAATAATGTATTCACAACATGAAGGCAAACAACATCTAATTGTTCAACTTTAACAAAACTCTTAACATGCAAATCTTTTGCAAAGGTGTTTAACACGAATAGTTAATAAAATAACAGCTAGCATTGATTAAGCACCTATTGTTGTCAAATGTTATACTCAGCAATTTGCATATATTATGTCTAATACTTAATATAATTGTGCAGTATATTTTAATTCTTTATTCACAGATTAAGAAATTGAGTCTCAAAAAGATTGAGTACTATTCTAACAGAACAACTTGATGTTCCAGAGTTATTATTCAACCAACTCTTAACTGCAAAGCTCATTTCCTTTCTGTTACACTACACTGACTCTGTAAGCTAGGCACACATTTCATAATACTGCATTTATTAACATAGTCCTGCTGTTGCAACTCAGAAATTTCTCAGAAAGTTTCAACTGTGTTAACTTTATCTTAAATGATGCTATTCCATGAGTACAGCAGATTAAGGAAAGTTCGCAGCATCTGAAAATCAAACTAGTAGCTAGGTAACAATTCTCAAAAGAATTTTGTCTCAAAAGACAAATTATTGCTATGATAAATTAACATTATTTATATCCCTGGTATTTCCCTCAGAGAGATTTCCTTATTCTTAATTAAGTAAGTTGTCCTGCCAAAGTAGCATAGACTTTTTGAGATTTGGCAAAAAATAGAGATTCCCAACATTCCTTTCTTCTCTGTGAGGGGAATTTCTGTATCTAATTTATAAGCATATCTCCTTCAAACCAAGTTACTTTCAGATTCACTGAAACAAACACTCAAAAATAGAAAATTTTTGGCAGGGCGCAGTGGCTCACGCCTGTAATCCTAGCACTCCAGGAGGCTGAGGCAGGAGGATCGCTAGAGTCCAGGGGTTTGAGGTTGCTGTGAGCTATGATGATGCCACTCCACTCCACCCGGAGCAAAAGAGAAAGAGAAAGAAAAGAGAAAGAAAAGAGAAGCGAAGAGAAGCGAAGAGAAGAAAAGAGAAGAAAAGAGAAGAAAAGAGAAGAAAAGAGAAGAAAAGAGAAGAAAAGAAAAGAACCAAAAACTTTCATGGGCCATACTTGACTTGATTTTAGTGGGTCTAGTCTACTTTGAAATAAAATTCAACAGAAGGATTTGACTCATTGTCTCCTCCACACAGTAAAAAGTTTTGCAAAATAGACTTTAAAGTCAAATAGCATAAATATTTTCAAACATATCCATCACACTGGTGTTACAACAAAATGCAACTCTTTGCCATGCCAATAGACATCATTTTAAAAGTTTTAGAATAACATTAATAATGTGTAAGTTAGATACTTCTGGAAAGCACAAATATTTTCAAATTTTAACATAAGCTAGAGGAAAGATAGTTTCCATGCAAAACTTGTAAAAGAAAACATAAATAACAAACATATCGAGGATATAATAATGCACTGGAATAACATAATACCAATAATATATATCTCTCTGTACATTTTTCAAAAGGCAAGCCATGTTTTATGATTTATAAATATGAGTTCTTTTGCCACCTCCACATAATACAAGAGCACATGACAATCACATTCTCTTGACAGGAGAGTTGTTTTCATAATATCTTAAAATTATATTTAATTATTAAGCTTTGCCAAAGATGCCTACCTCTGTAGTGGAAGTCTCTGGACATGTCTATGGGAGCCCGTTCTACCGCTGATCTCTTGTAGACAACATGAATCCTTCCCTTTTCTTCCTCCATCTGTTTACCTCTTTCCAAGGGTTCAATGAAGTACTCTTCATTATCACTTTTTATCATTCCAGCCTAGAGAAAG